GATGCATTGATTAATCGATATATAACAACGATTGCGTATATTTTACGTAAAGTAAGTGGCAGGTTATTTAAAGATAAAGCATACGTGAAAATTCGTTTGTACACGTGTAAAAGAGATTCCACGATCTCTTTTGTTATACACTCTATATATTTATATAAATTACTAGAAGAAGATTTAAAAATTGGTTGAGAAACAAGGATTTGTGCTGTAAATAAAATTCTCTCTTTTAGAATTTCTTATCACTTAAACTTGGCAATTTTTGCTAATCAAGTACCTTCCATTTTTCACCTGAACTTATAAGTTTTTTGGTTACAATTAAAAAATGTATCTTGGGAATCTTAAAATTCACGCAAATCATACTTGCATATCTCATCTCATTTGTATACGAAATGAGGAACAGGTGCTTTTTAGTTCCTTTTGCAAACACAAGAACGGTCGACACGAAGCCGACCCTGAGCAATACGCCGACGAAATAGCTGCGGACATCCGGGGTTCCAGGTACGGCCGCCTTCCTGCCCCCCCTACCTCCTATCGAGTAATTCGTAGTTGGATTGATAGCAATCGCGTTATCGCAGTTTAATGCCCTCTCGTATTGCATTAGTGTCAAGTTGCTTATGCGCGCGAAATATTTCACCCTTTGAGGTTGTCGTTGTGATCGTGATCCTGCGCAATCGCGTGCCGTGGATTTTCCCATTCTAAGAATCAATAATGAACGCTAAAAACATGCGCAATAAATATACTTCGTCTCTAATGCGCATTCCGATTTATTGCTGTAATAGTTAATGCAGTTAGTTAATTCAATCAAAAGAAAGAGAAAGAAAGAAAGCCGTTTTCCACGAGTCGTTTAACCGGCTTTTCTTCTTAATCCTTCATCCTTGATCATTTCCCGATTTCCTCCGCATTATCAATACGCTTCCGCTAAACGAAGCGGAACTCTTTGAAATGAGAACTTCTAACTGAAAACTGTCAGAAACAAAGAGTCCCAATTTCTTTTTCAAAGAATATTACAGCATCTCTTGATGTTCTTTTATCCGCAAATTTTAACAAATAATGATCGATGAGACAAAAAAATTTTTACGAAGTACAATCAATTTATCTAACAATGACACACTTATAATCAATTTTTCATACGTTTAGATATGCAATTATTTAAAAGCTAATTCCCTAAAATAAATGTCTATTTCAAGTTAATCAATAATCTGTCTTTACAGAAATTATCGGAATAGAATTTGCCCCAAATTACCCAGCTAAATCCACTCTTTTCTCTATTTTCAATATATCATTATAGTTTAAGGACCGGCGAGTATACAAGCTCCCACGAAAGTTTATCGTTACCACGAACTTTTAACTCTTTCTCGTCGCCGCCTTTTGATGCGGTTTAATAAAACGCGTCATTAATCACGAAGTACGATAACGGAAAGCGTGTGTTAACAGCGCACCGCTACCGAGAGCAGGTCAATGGAACACTCAACCGGATTTCCGATCGGCGGACGGGTTTCCAGATTTAGCCGCACGTTCTCAACCCTTTTGGATAATTTATAGGCGAACTGATGGCGATCGCGTTATCGCGGTTTAATACTCCACTCCCCGTTACCGTTATATATGTATATATTTCGCTGCGTTATCGCATTTTTATATTCCCTATAAAAGATCATAATAATTTCTTTTTCCTAGACAAGTTACGATGATTTGTAATCAGGTCGTTCTGATATTTTATAATGGCGCACTTCACGCGATATCCGCCCTTAAAAATTTACGTGACATGCTACATCACATCAGAACACGAATAAATTGAAGCGCGTTACTGGGTAGCATTAATTGTGAATAGCAAACTTTATTCCCCCGGCAGTCATGTTCCTGTCATCAAATAATAATGGACTGTCGTTACGCGAGAATTGAATTTTTGTGTCGTTTGCAAAGTTTAACTTTAGATACATAAATCGGGGATGCCCTGTTTAATATATTCAATTCATAGCACGTTGACACTGCGCTTATTCAGACTTAACGCTGTATATACATATCATCTTCTATACAATTCGTCTCGCTTATATAGAAAAGCCCTCGGAGCTTTAATAACAGTCTCTTGTTCTATTCGGCGACATATCGATCGGATGAAATTACGTCGGTGATATCCGGCCGTTGTGCAGATCTTTGGTTTTTTATTACATCTTTTTTTTCTAAAAAAAAATGTCCTGGAACGCGAACGGCAGCAGGAACGCAATGCAAAGAATAATAAAAAGTGTTTAACGGTTTATCCAAGGAAAAAAAATGATATCTTGGTTTCATCCCTGAAAGATTGATAATTTTCCTTGATTTTCCGCGACAGAGAGAGAAGACGGACGGACTTCTCGATTCACGTGGTGCGATAGCGTAATCATTCACTGCCGAGATTTATATCACGGTAACATATACGTAATGTCACGCATCACTTGTAATATTAATGCTATGCGATAAATCATATGGTAGCGGCAATTTGGGACAAATGACGCGAATTATTCAGAGAACATCTATTATATCGCCGACATGTACATCTAATTTCTATCCTTTATCATTTGCGATATTACAATGCAATTGTTGCATGCAAGAGATTATTACGCTAAACAATTAGTGTAAATAGATAGCAAACCTTCTTCATTAAATTTTGAGTACGTTAAATTTTAATAGAGCATTAATTCAGAAACTTGTTACAAAGATATCTAATTGAAGAATTCTCAAGGATATTCTTGTTAAAAGATAATTCTTTTCAGATCCTATAATATGCTGCAGATGTTCCGTGATTTATTTAATATTTACGATTGCCGTTCTGATAAATGGCGAAATGTCTCTACGATGATGCACAAGTGCGACAGGGGATCGTGTAACAAATGATGCATGATGTATCTTGCGACCATGCGTGACGTGAACTGAAAACTCGTTTCTTTCCTCCTCTCGTTACGAAGAACAAAGTATCTCTTGGACGCGTATAAATCCCGTTCTATGCGATCGTAAAATTCAAATCGCGCATCACAGTCGCAGATGCAACTGCTATTGACGTGCAGTTTAAAAAGAAATGATTGTAGGTTATCGTGCATTATGATCTGGAATTTTTTTTTTGTAGGGCATAAATGTCATACATAAAAGTCCTTTTGACACATAAACATACGCATACAAGCTTCAATTTGCTTTCCGCAAAACCAAAGTGTATCAAAAGTAATTAAATTTTATATTACTAATGTAATTTTTATATCTTGTGTATATCAAGCTGTAAAACCTTATATAATTGATCATTTTGAAAACATCATGTTTATTGCAAGTTTTTTTAAAACTGAAATTTACTTTTATTGACATTACTTTGATACATTTTTCAAGAAATCAAAGCCGATAAAAATGAGCGCTGATAGCGATAAATTCAACGATAACACTCTTGCTTCAGTGAAAAAAATTATATATACATACATATGTATATGTATATAAATATTCCTCATCTCACAAACCTAAAATTGATTAATTAGGATATTTGAGGAAAGAAAAAGAATTTGTTCGATTTCAGTTTGCTTTAGCCATAGACTAAAATTATTTAATTCGTTGATTACTCGATAAAGCTTAATTACTGCTGAGAAAATTGTTTTAATTCTATCATGGCGGAAATATAATCCAATTCTAATAATCTAGACCTCGATCAGCTTCATTGCGCCCATTCTGCTTCAATTCGAAACAAAGTGATCCTTGACAATTATCGCCGGCGCGAACAGATAGTAAAAAAGTGAAATCGTTCACGATATCGAAAGACAGGATTGATAATTGGCGCAAGCCATTGAAGCTAGCCATTGTGATGATTGTACAGTTAATATGAGTCACCGGAAATTATTCCGAGCCATCCGAGCCGAAAGTGTAAAAAACGATTTGACAAAGTATTTCATAAAATGTTTATTACCGCATCAAAACTATTATTTAATATATAATATATTTATCTTTATTAAAAAATACTTATTAAATATGTGTCTTATATTATTTTTTAATGTATAAATTTAAATAAATTTTGATTATTTAATATAAATCTAATATGAAATATTTTTATGCGAATGTCTATATTAATCTTATTATGCGCATTGCTTAAATTTTTTCGGTTGAAATGTCATATCTCTCTGGCAAATTTATCTCTCTTCTAATATTTTCTTTCTATAATTATCAATAAACATTCTTGGCTGCTAATTAGCTACATAAACCAACCATAAGTAATCTAATCCAGTGTCATGCGATCGACGATGACTTAAGATTTAATCGACATCCGCCGCCGCGCAGCAATCACATTGATATCGTATCTCAAACAGCTAATAATCGAGCGCCTTCTTCTGCGAAGATATTTACAACGAAGAAACAGTTATCGTTGCTTAATTTAATCGCAGCATAAACATATTCGTAACTCCATTCGGCACCGCAACAAGACGCTTTATTAACAAGACTTCAACTTTCAAAACTTCCAAGGATAAATTACGCGCACGATATCGTAATTCATATTAATGCTCTCAATATTATAACGCGCGAGAAACTTGACCGGGAGATCGTCGAGGTGTAATTTAATAAAAATAAATTGGCCATGATTTATTCTGATTCATAAATGTACGTATACTTTGGAATTTATTCAGGAAAATTAAATGCGCGCCAACCACGTATTCTCGAATCGTAAATTTTATAGAGATATGTATTTTTAGTCCATTGAACTCCGATTGTTTTCAGACAAGATTACATATATATGTAATCGTTGGAATTCTTGGTAAGTCGAACAATCTCTCAGCGCGAATTACTCTCCCACATGTACGTACGTACGTTAATTAAATTTGCCTTTTAAGGAGAATTTAGAAGCAAATCTCGAGGGAAAGTAACGTTTCATCCTTATATAAATATCTTTTTATATACTTATTTGGCATGATTAATTTATATTTTATAATTAGAATATTAAATTTGACAATATCTCTGCTTTTTAAGAGAAAAAAAGAGAGAGCGAAGCAATTATTAAATAACTTACTTACAAAAATGATACAAGAAAAGTAGCATGTGAATCAATTAGTGATAAGACTGAATTCGCGGCATGTAGTCGACGATAACAGTAACCGCGACGGTAAATTGAATGTAGGAGTCGGAGATAATGGTCTCGTCTTTATCGGGGGTATCTTACAGCTGCGGCCGGTAGTACACGGAAAAGTAATGGCCCAGATACCTCCCTTCCAAATAGTTGAGATATCGGTCTGTCAGAAATTCTGGAACTGAAATTGCATTCCGCCGCTCCCTTTGCTGGTTATCTTCCGTTTTCTCGCAGGATTACTTAATCTTTGTAACTTGAAGTTCGTACCGCGCTTTATGCATCACGTCAATATCATACAAACAGGTAGATTATATATATATAATCAAAACTAAAATTACTAAAATAAAAATTTATATCCTTTTTGTCTTATCAAGCAAAAGAAAAACTTTCATGTTTTAAATTTCGCAGAATTTACATGAGAATTTTAGTTATGGATAAAATATTTATACGATACAGATATATAAATCAGCCATAAAAATAACTAAATTCTTTCTCAACAGAAGCATTTAACGAGATGTTTAATTATTAAATTATACGAAATTGTAAAATTACATAACCGTGAATAATTAGTGAGAGCGCGTTTTCGAAATCTCGCAACGACCGTGTTACGAACTAAGGACGTTAAAATTGACATAACGAATCTGTTTAAAACGTCGCTCGTTAAGTGCGTATTTGTTCGGCGCGCTAATGACATTAGAGTTCTTGCCTAGGAGTGCACCATTAGACGGTGCATTTTTCGCCGATGAAAAGCTGCAACCTCGGATTATCCGCGATGACTTTCGTCATGAAAAAAAAATAAGAGAAAGAGAGAAAAGAAGAACGGCGGGAGAAAGAGAGAAAATATATCACCGACAATCTGCAACTAACGAAGCCGGCATTAAAGACCGGTATAACCGAACTACTGAAACTCTCGCGTACTTCTATCAGTGTTCATCTCGTTTGCACACTCCATCGCGCTCTTTGAAGGCTCTATATTACGGCCGACATTGGCCGTCGCTTTTCACGATTTTAATTACACTTTGGTACAAATATTAAGAGATCGTCAGCGAACTCCCGAGTATCGAATGAAAGAGCCCCGAGAGATATAGAACTCATTTTGTACTCTTTCTATTAGATATAGTGTTTCAATCATTGGACGCATCTTTCGCACAATATAAAGTGTTAAAAATTTTGATATCTGTATTTGTTCAATTAGATTTTAGATAAAAAGAACATCCGAATATTCCATTCATCCCATTTAAAACACGCGATCGATATGAAGCAGAATTCTCCCACACATCTGAAGCCTTCTTTAGACGTCAAATTATTAGGAGCGCTCTCTCCGAACTGGGGTAATTTACCATTACGTGATTCGGAGAGAATCATCCATGCGGCATTAAAAGCGATTCCATTATCGACTCGAAGGAACGCGGGATTATGGTTTCAAAGAGCGGCGGCTTCCGTTGGCCGATAATCCTCGCGAACGTAATGGCGAATATACTTCAGTGGTGAGCTTGTTAGATCCATAAATATCGGTATCTTCATTGCAAACCGCAGGCGGCATCCCGCTATCTCGTAATGGATTCCATAACGGACGTTGCACACGTGCTGGGCCAGCCGTGTCGTTCGTACGTAAACCCCGAAGCGGCAACATCCTTCCTATCTCTCCTCTCTTTTTACGAGTACTTCCGTTACAATTCGCTGACTAAACGCGAACGTATATTAATTAAATGCCCGCCCCGCGAGTAATTGATTGTTTTCTTAATCGAATCGTTTTTACTGCGCGCTGTCTCAGATTTAGAGTGACACCAAGTCTATAAACACACGTAAAATCGAACTAGCTGTTCGAGAGATATTCATGCGACTTATATAAAACGATATCGTGCGCTTGCGTCATTCATTCCCAATTACATGTCATTACACATACGTAAAATAAAAAATGCGAGAAAGTATATGACAAAATAATAAGCAAATATTTAATGGAATAATTATAATTTATGAAAAAAACTATGTTTTCAAAGATTTAAAAAAGTATATTATATATAAAAATCTTTTTTTTTTTCTTATTTAATTCTTATTTAATTCTTATTTAAATCCAATTAAACGGAAATAAATGTGCACGATGAATAAATAATATAATAAATAAAATAAATTACACTCACTACAAGATTGCTCTGCCGTTGCCCGAAGCTTCCTAGACTTCCTCCTCTTAGATTGTCAGGATTCATTACACCTACAGAGTTCGTTGCACTCATCTGGAAATATGGTTACAGTTCATTACAGTTCATTACTGTTCATTATACGGCACGATAAGAACAGACGCGCGACACTTTGCACGGCACTTCCGGATTCGGACGCGCGACATTTCGTGTACGTCATTATCAAACTAATTAAGACGCAACGAATTATTCGCGACACAATGAATACGGACGCGCGACACTTTGCGCGGCACTCCCGCAAATTCCACGATCGCGAACTAATATTCCCTTTTGTATGAGGATTGTACTTCGTGACAACGAGTCAAGATATCACAATAACTTTGAGTAAGGCAAAAATTTGACATCATTCACGAAAATATGGTTAATTATGATACGCTTACGAATCGCTAATTATAATAAATGTAGGAAATAATCACGTTTCTCGAAGAATAATCCGACGACATAGCATTCCGAATGTCGCCGTACAAATGGTAACAAGTGATCGAATATATCAACAATAACACGCAGTGTTATTATATATGTAGCACGCCGTGAAGGTTCTATATCTTCGTATGACAACAAATGTATCATTACCTACCTTTATATTACAACTAGTTTGTTTATGTCTTTTGTTTGTCTCTTGAAATACTTAACATTTTATAATATCAATTCATATCGAATCTTCTGTATTTTGTGTCAAATTAAATTCGATATTATAAGATATCGTCGCAAATAAAATCTAAGATTTATTATAAGAATAAAATTTATTTTATTTTGATCATGAAACTATTTATTAGTACTATTATTCTTATTATACTCTTATTAAAGTAATTTATTGTCACTTAATTTATATATTAGTGATAATTTAGTATATTATCACTTTACACTTTATTAAATTTTTATTTTTTAAAAAGATAATTTTATTTAACGTTAAAGAAACAAGAATTTTTTTCTTGATTTTAAGATATTAATATATCTAATAAAATTTATAATTATTACCAAAAATGTAATAACTTATTTTCTTATTAAAATCATATAAATTCTAATTAATACGTAAAAATTTGTGTGTATGAAATTAAAATAAATAAATCATAATATTTATTATGCAACAAAGATAATCCTAATTTTTTTAATTTATATTTAATTCGATTTATTAATTCTATTTAAATATAGCAGTTAATCAACTAATTAAATTTTCACTAACGAATAATTATGAGTATATTATAGATTAACGTGTAATTAAAATCTATACATTTATAGATTTTATATAACTATAGACCATTTATTGAATACGTAAAAATTTGTGTGTATGAAATTAAAATAAATAAATCATATAATATTTATTATGCAACAAAGATAATCCTAATTTTTTTAATTTATATTTAATTCGATTTATTAATTCTATTTAAATATAGCAGTTAATCAACTAATTAAATTTTCACTAACGAATAATTATGAGTATATTATAGATTAACGTGTAATTAAAATCTATACATTTATAGATTTTATATAACTATAGACCATTTATTGAAATTTATTTAAAATGCAAAATACACACAGAATATATAGAAAGCGTGAAGTTATATAGAGTATAAAATGTTAAATATATTTCGAAACGGTAATAAATTAATTATCATTGATATTAAATTTATAATTAATAATATTTGGCCTTTGTTTTTTTCCTGCGTATAGCATGTTATTTTAACACGCAGCTGTCTTATCAAAAACAATTGATTTAGATAAATCTATTATTAATGATAAATCAATGTAACTGACCAGATTGATTAAATGCTATCAATTTATAATTAACTCTAAAAAAAAAAAAGTGTTTCTTAAGTTTATAAAGCACATAATTTTATGTACACAATCTATAGTTAAAAAAAAAATTTATTATTATAATTTAAAAGAAAATTTTCCGCAATCTTGCAGAAAATGCCCTTTAAACGAAGTAAAGTATGAAAACTTGGCATACTGACCAGAAATTATCGCTCTTTGGTTAGCAGTTTCCAAAGTGCAGTAGCCTTGTCAGCAATCATGATCTTAATTGTGATAGCAGTGTGGAACAATGTATAAAGTGACGCAGGAAGATCGTCATTCCCGTGAAATCGACCGTTCAATTTCACGAAACGTTTAGCAAACGATCGAGGAATCCATTGAACGTGGATCACTCTGTAATTCGAAGCGATTCCAACAATGACCGATTTCTCTTTCGAAAAGAGTGACACTGTGCGACTCCAGACAATAACGCGGCAAACGTAAATTACCCCTTTGCAAGGTGGCAAACGCGGGAGAGGTCCAGATTTGAATAGCCAGTAAAGTGAACAAAGTGAACAATATGTGCGATATGTCTGCTGAATCGAGTCAATATCCGGTGGAATGTAAGTTATTTTTAATTGGAAATCGCTTCACACACATTGAATTTTACATTTAAAAAGAAATTGGATTGCATAGCAAATCTTTTATGCTTTATATATACCATAAAAATAAAATTCTTATGAATATATATATATATATATATGTGTATATATATGTACATGTATACAATATTTATTTATCATACATATGATGTGCGAAGCGAAACATTCTTTTAATCAAAAACATCATTAATCTTATTTACAAATGTATTACCTTAATATTTATTAATACGTTGCAAACTTATAATGAATTGAGTTCTACTGCATTGGATTTGCTATAATTGTTTGTATCACTTTGATTGATACTAATTGTAAATGGCACAGCAGTTTGCTTGTGTGATATGGGTACTTCAGCTTTAAACGTCAACGCTACGCAAACAGCACGCGTGACACAGTTACATAAAATCAAAGTTCCAAAATCAAACAATCGTTTATGTCATCGTGCAAGTGTTGACAAACTACGAGAACTCAGTATTATGTACCAAAAACAAAAACACATTTTTTAAATACAATAATATTATTTAATTAAATCTATTAATTATCTTAAGTAACTAATTATTTAATTTTTTGAATCTGAATTTTTTTATCATTCCCTTATAATGTAATTATGTATTATGTTTTATTAACATGCTTGTTAATTGTAAAAGAGAATAAAATCTATTTTAATAATATTTTTGATATAAAGATGATTTTACATGCTAAAAATGGCAATTCTTTTTTTAGAATAAATGATATTAAAGAGCAAACTTTCAGCAAACTTTCCGAGAGGATTATTCATTAGCTACAAATTATATATATATATATAATTAATTATAATATAGCTACAAATGTACAACTAAAAATAAATTTAATAAATAAAGATATCCTGCAAGCATAGAGATAGTAAAAGTACATCTTTCAAATTAATATATTATAAGATTCTTAAATCGATCAGTGAAATTTTAACATAGTATATCTATGACATTTTTAATTCGTTACTCTATAATAATTTAACTCATAATTTAATTCAGCATTGTGCGCAGATGACCTCAAAGTATATATTAAAATGAGCAAAGTTCTTTCAACAAAGTACAGTGTTAATCATCGTCGAAAAATGACATATACACACATATACGCATGACTACGCGTGCGCAGATTTACGTATATTTTGGAAACATGTCCTCTGAGCGAGTGCCACGAAAATTATGACCAACAGAACGCATTCCGCGAAAGCTACTGCAGTGGTTGAAATATGCACGCAGTGCACCGCGATGCTGTATAGAATACCGCGACAGAAAGTAATTGTTTCTATTGTAGTTCTGCTAGCAGATATTAAACCATATCTCACTCCAATAGAAGCGATAAATTACATAATAACCTAGAGATACAATATTTCGAGAAATCTTGGATTAAATTAAACTTATTTTCTACCCCCCCGTATAATTACATAATCACACGATATACTTATGTCGTATATATACTTTGACATAGTTGCCATAGTTGACATAGTTGATTTATCTCTTATTTTAATCCGTTCTTGAAAATAAATTTTTTCTATAAACATATTATAATTAACAATAATAATAAATAAAAAATAAAATCATGAAATTCAGTTTTTATGAAGTTTCGCTTAATTTGCAACGCAATTTTAATTCTTGAAATGACCTGACATCGCGACGACAACTCCGAGTGCAAAGGATTAAACGATTATTTTAAAAGTAGAAGTAATGTTAAAGCAAAGTTTTACCGATATCAAATAAGCGTAGTGGACATATAGCCGCATAGTACTAATAACGACTGCTATTTCTCGACTGGCGGCCTCAACCTTGCTTATCCTCTCGCGACTCTCGCGAAGATTTGCATTGGATTAACATAATGCAACTACGCCCGCGGGCTTCGGCGAGAAGATAGACATTATCTCGCTTGTACTTGGCAGGTTGTCTCACGAAGGCAAAAGCAATAAAATAAATTTTTTCTATAAATTTGCAACGCAATTTTAATTCTTGAAATGACCTGACATCGCGACGACAACTCCGAGTGCAAAGGATTAAACGCGCGAGAGCTACGTAAAACAAATAAGCGAAATATTCTCACCGGGATGTGACGTTATTCAAAAGGAACATTCTCGCAAACATGATAAAAATGTTTAAATAACTTTCAGAGAGTACATTCCGGGTAACGCTGCAGAAGAGCAGTCGCGGTCTCGGTCTAAGTGTTTCCGGTGGCGGTACCGCGGGCCCTGTTCGGGTGAAAAGACTCTTTCCTCAGCAACCCGCCGCCCTGTCCAACAAGCTTCAAACCGGCGACATATTATTAGCTGCCAACGGGATTCCGCTAACCGGCCTCACCAATTACGTAAGTAATCAATTAACTACAATCAAAAGAATCAAAAATAAAATTCGTTATAGCGACCTAATTACGAATAAATTGAAGTTGATGAATGAGAATTTGCAGCTTGCGAATTATACATATAACGATGTTTTGTAAATTTAAGGGGAAAGAAGGTTACATCACCTTCAATATCTTTAATTTAAATACGTAGCAAAATATATTATAAATAATATCTAAATAATAAATATTCTAAACTATTTTTATATAAACATACAACAATATATAATTGAATGTTTCTAATTGAATTAAATATAATTAAAATAATCCTATTTTTTTATTAATATAAAAATCCACTTAAATTAACTTTTATAAAAAAAAAAATTGTGTTTATATGTTTTACCGATGTATCAAATGGTGTTCATATTGATAATTTTTATATGTTTTACCGATGTATCAAATGGTGTCTCATATTGATATTTATTTTAAAAGTAGAAGTAATGTTGAAGCAAAGTTTTATCGATATCAATTAAGCGTAGTGGACATATAGCCGCATAGTACTAATAACGACTGCTATTTCTCGACTGGCGGCCTCAACCTTGCTTATCCTCTCGCGACTCTCGCGAAGATTTGCATTGGATTAACATAATGCAACTACGCCCGCGGGCTTCGGCGAGAAGATAGACATTATCTCGCTTGTACTTGGCAGGTTGTCTCACGAAGGCAAAAGCAATACTGCCTCCTGCTCCCAGCACGCAACTGCGTATACTCGCGCCCTTCCGCCACTCTTAATTTCCGTGAGAAATGCATTGACTCCACTGCGGAGATGCTAAAACCTTGACTCTTAATTCCATTGCTCGGCTTTACTACCAGAGGATACCAGCCGGAAACAAGAGTTTTATCGCGATTACATTTAATTGCAATTGTTGCTGTGTTTTGTAAATAAAGTCGTACATTTGCTACTCATTAAACGTAAATTTGGTGAAAAGCCAAGAGAAAAAGTGTAAATTTGAATTTATTTTATAATAAAAGATAACTAATATATAAGAAGTAAAACTTTCTTTTTGAAATATGATAAAATTTCAGAATTTTTATATTTCTATGAATGTCATTTTTTTGTTAAGTCTTTTTAAATATCTATTTTAAATATTATTTATTTGTTTCCTGCATATCATCGAATTTCACTCCCGAAGGCCATCTTAATATAATTTTGTTTTCGTAAATCGTCTGCTCTCTCTCTCTCTCTCTCTCTCTCTCTCTCTCTCTCTCTCTATATATATATATATTGGATGATTGCATAAGTTCGTGCCCGATTTTCATAGATGGCATTAAGTTA